CGGTCCGAGCCCCAGTGGGAACAACATCACTTAATGGGGTGCAGGAAATCCGGCTGACGAGTCCCAGATCCGACGAAACGTGCATCTTGGGTTCCTATACTAGTCACCGAGACCAATTTAACATCATGAACATCCCACAGTGTCGAGATATCTGCATAGGAGCCCATTCGCCAACAAAGGTCGAACAAATTCAACCCTGTATAGTAGGGGGAAATCACAAGACATCGAAATGTCTAAATAACTACTACTGTTCACTGCGCAAGATGCAGTTATTGTAACTCAGTGAACTAAGTGAATAATGTTGGACTGTTTAAATTCATAACTGTTGGTTTTGATTGGTTACGGAAATGCTACTGTTCTTTTGGGATACAATTGTGGTATCAAAGTCTTCAACAGACGTTTCTTTCTGATCACCTAGTCCATTGTTTTATCAACTGGATATGATTCCTGCACACAAACACACACACAATAATAAATTAAGAGCAGATGAATACGAAAACAGAGAATATCCTATTGGTGTTGTTGCTTTTATTATCCCATTGTTTATTGGATCGAATTGATCGGTATCGATTGGCATATGGGCTCCTGGGCGAATACCTAGATATTGCCTGTGTTTGAGTTATATATTAGTGTGGGATAGGGGCGAAAAGCAAATTCTACGACGCGTGTTTCATTCTACTTGGGACGATGCTGTTCCCATTAGGACTCGAATTCGGGACCGATTGCTTCAAATGTCACAATAAGTAACTATCTTGACTCGGTGGTCTAGTAGATAACGTTTTGGCGTTTGATGCAATCAGTCACTAGTTCGAGTCCTGGTGAGGACTGAGAGGCAGGTATCATCCAGTTGACGAGTCCCAAACAGGACGAAACTCACGTCCTGGATTCCTCTGCTAGTCACTGGTTTTTTTTGGAAATTTTGAAGGACAAGTAAAAAGAGCTTCTAAGTCAAGAAGACAAATAAAGGGGTGAGAAAGCAATAAACCATTGTCACACACACACAGGATATGTGCTTACAAAGTTTATCTTTACTTATAGTATTATCCTTATTTAGCTCAGTTTGATACATCGTAGAGCATGAGTGAATGTTAATCCGATTCTTTTTCTATTGAAAGGTAATCAACTATAAAAGTTTTCCCTGTAGCCATTCTATACAGGCTTCCTTTGCACAAACACCTTCAATGTTCCATAATTTCATCCGGTCAACCCGAAATCTAAGAAAGGACTTCTGAATTCATTTATCATTTTGCTTATGAATTTAACTGAAGGATGAGAACTGTAGAAGGCGATTTAATTTGCGATTATCATATCAGACGATGTGTATTTCGTTAGGATACCTTGTCTACACAAGATCTGACATAAATCATTCTGCTAACTATGAACTAACTAGAGAGTTTAAAGCTATATCACCTTGGTAGAGTGTTTAGTGTGTATTGATTGGTCACTGTAGAGTACCCACCTTCATGATGTCTAACTCCTAAGTGCTGATTGAATTCAGTCGATTATTTTACAATATGACCATCAGGCTGGTTGACTCAGCAATCTGAGGCACTGAGATAGATGCTAGTTGGATGGATGGAATCAACAGGAAGCTCTGGTACTGGTACTCCTTGGTTAGTCATATCTCCAAGCTCGACGGAACTAATGTCTTGGCTGAGATTTGAACCCATATTTACCCAAGGCTGGAGTTAGAGGTGTTATCATTTAACTATTTCATTTGTGATTGATCTCATTTAGGAATGGATTGTGTACATTGATTAGTTACTGGAGAGTAACCAACTTCATGTTGTCTAGGCTTGGGCTCTGACCAAATTGTGTCTATCATTTTGCGGTATGGCCATCAAATATGTCTTGCTAACAAGTGCCAAAAGACATAAAACTTAGGTTCAGGGTCTCCTGTTGATTGTCTCCATCCAAGTAACACATAATTTATTATCTAATCTGGAAAACAGCTGCTTTCAGCCAATAATCATCAATGTTTGTCTTGTTTTTTTGTGTGTACCAAACGTATATTGATGGCATATTCATAATCTACCATGATGATTTCAGTTTAAATTATCTTCTATAAACACTGAACAGTTGCTTTCCTTCAGGTGAATTCACTTTCATTCAAGGTAATCTATCAATTGAAAAGACTGTTTCTAGATATTGAGTTGATCAGTCCATAAAAAGTTTGTTTAAAACATCTAGCTAACAGATAAACTTTAGTAACTAATCCCTTTTAAACTCAATACATAATTTTTATTTTTCATGTTTAGAATATTAAATCGATAGGGATACTGGAAAAAAAAGAAGAAAAGGAATTGTAAAATCTTTTAATTAAAATTGGTTATCATTTCTAAGTAACTATCAGTTCATTGACTGATATCTTTATGAATACAATCTGTTCAATGTGTTACACATTCCCTTCTAAATTCATTTTCTTTATTATATAATTACTAGTCATTGTAAGGACTTAAATAAAGAATTGAAACACATAAAGGAAGCCTGATGGCCGTGAGGATAAATACTCAACGATGACATTGGGTGGCGGTTTGCGCTATATCGTGAGCTAACAGAAGTTGGAAATATGGAGCATTGGATTGTGACCCAGTGGCTCAATGGTAACGCGCTGGTCGCGAAACCTGAAGGTTGCGGGTTCGATCCCTGCTGGTGGGGTCGTGGGTGCGCACTGCTGAGGAGTCCCATACAAGTGGGACGAAACAGCTGTCCAGTGCTCCCAGGTTTCCTTTGTTCCTCCAACTGATGTCAGTCTTCGATGAATAACAACTTGAAACATAAAGGAAGCGTTAATAATTAATAATTATCCCCATCATTTTATTAAGAAATTCACACGGATACATAAGAAGCAAAATAATAACACTAATACAAATAAAAATAATAGTGACAACATAAGTAGAAAGGAAATCAACACCTCTATTGTGATGCCATACAAGGAAGGAACATCAGAAACCATATGTAGGATTCTCAACAAGGTTGGAATTAGGGTGGTATTTAAACCAACAAACTCACTTAGAGGTAAGCTTTGTCGGCTAAAAGATCCGATAGAATCAATTAAGCAAAATAATATAATCTACCAAATTCCATGTAATGACTGTGAGATCAAATACATAGGTCAAACTAGCCGGTCGGGGTCAGTTAGATTAACAGAACATAGGAATTTAGCTAAACATAGAACGGTAGACCCCAATAAGATCAATAACCTAGAAAAACACTCAGCCATTGCATTACATTCATTAACACACAACCATACAATAGGATGGGACAAAACCCACTGTACTTTAGTCTAATATAGCTAGGTGGAGAGAGAGATTAATTACTGAATCTGCGTTCATCGAATCCACACCCAACATATGTAATAGGAATGACGCAACACCTATACCAGAGATATGGAAAACTTTACTACCAATCAAAAAACAAAAAACAAAGAGAGATCAGGTGACAGGACTATAAAATCAGATATTGAAAGAAGTGTGATTACATTGATATGATTATGAGCAGTAATAATTTATGCTCGAAACGTAATCAATTAAATAATACTGTATCACTGTGCGCTTTATATCAAATAAACAAATCTAATATGAAATTACATTCTACCACAGTGCCCAAGTTTTTCACTTATATTAATGGCATGTTAATGTTTTTTTCTCAACATGAGTTACCATAGTGATGTGAATGAAAAAGATACTTTTAAACTTTATTCAAGAAAGATAAAAGGCATGTTTACTTTTTAACCTTTACAAGAAATCTAACTGGACTATTAGAATGATATACAAATTTTATGGGTGAATTTCTGATGACCTAATGGATTGTAAATTTAGAATGGATCAGGATATATTATGAAATAATGTTGTTACTTGTATTGACCGGTCTTTATTGGCATATGTGCTCCAGTATGGATGCCTCGATACTGCCTGTGTTTTAGTTATATATTATAATGATGGATAGTGGCCATCAGTAGATTCCCGAACACATGTTTCATCCTGTTTCGGACTCGTCAACTGAATGTACCTGCCTGAGCGATGTTGTTCCAACTGGGACTCAAAATCGTGATCATTTGCTTCAAATGTCAGAGCGTTATCCACTAGACCACCAAGTCATGATAGTTGCTTATTGTGGCCCTTGAAAACGATTGGTCAGGAGTTTGAGTCCTGGTGGGAACGACATCATTCACTGTACATCCAGTTGACGAGTCCCGAATACGAATAAACGCTCGTCTTGGAATCCAATTCTAGCCACTACCCATCATTAATAAACTCTGAGACACACAAGATACTAGCAAGATTACACTGTCGGTAAAAAAACTAACTAATACAAGAAGTACTGTCATTTGTTATAATTACCACATCTGCAGTAACGCTATCCAATGTAAATCCGAATTAAATGATTAACTTATTTAGAGGTAGTATTCATCACAGACTGACATCATTTGAGGAATCATTGAAAATCTGGGAATACTGGACCGCTGTTTCGTCCTAGTATGGGACTCCTTTTAAGTTCGCTTCCACGGTCCCACCGGGTAGGGATCCAACTCAGGACCTTCAGGTTTCACGGCAAACGTGTTAACCATTCAGCCACCAGGTCGGTTTTAAGTGGTTCACAGTTTCCAATTTCTTTCAATTCATGACATAGCTTGACTATCACCCAAGGTGTTCAGTGGCATCCGCTCCCCTTCCAAGTGGTTGACCCTACAGGTCATAGCTTCTCATTAGAACTTCATGATATTCATGTGGAAGCATGTCACTAATGCGCACTATACATTAGTATATTTTAAGCTGAATGAGGATTGTAACGTGTTCACCGTAAAACCTGAAGGCTGAAACAGCTGTCCAGTGCTCCTAGATTTTCAATTATTCCCCAACTAATATCAGTCCATAATGAATAGTAACTGTAAATTAAAAAATCTCCATTCATTCTAAAAAATTTTTACATGGATATAGTGTAAATCCCTTAAGAAAGAAGTTTATTGATGATATATTTATCGATTTGATTATTTTCAGTGAAAATCAGTCAAAATTTATTCATCAACGTATTAATCAAATTGAAGCATTTTTTGGTGATCTATGCTCAGAACTTGTTAATTATACAAGACGAACAGCGAAATTACGCAATAATGGTAAAAAAAAAAGAAATAATAATCTCTGTCTGGTATACACATTAATAATGAATAGGTGATGAAATTGCTCGTATTCTACTTGATTATTCAATTAAAGAGAAAATTAATCGAACATCATCTGATGCCTTTAGAAGACTATCAGAATATCTTGCAACTGTAGAAGATTATCGACATACTGAAGTAAAGTGGGAAATTATTTATTGACTAAAATTTTTCAATATTTTTCTCTTCGAATTTTTTTTTCGTTGTTATTGTTGCATAGATTGATAGAATTGTTGGTAAAGTTGTCAATCCATTAGCAGCTTATGGTGAAGAAATAAAGCATATTAGAGTAAGTGAAATAAATCTGAAGATATTTCTGTTCTCTGTTGTTGTTTTTTTTCCTCTAAAAAAGAATAGTTTAAAAGTTGAAAGTGCAGCACGAAAGAAAGAAATTGCAAATATGCGTAAATTGGAAAGGTCGAGTACAACTGAAGCATCTAGAGAGGTGAGTACAGTATTAAGACTTTTAAGATCAGGTAAAATATTCAATCTTTTGATTTTAATCAAACTGCCTGTAAGTTACTGGCCCAACACTTTCTTATCTGAGCAGGTGTATGAAATGACAAGAGAATTGACATGAATCATCATTTTAAATGATAGAAACTACTTATATCTTCTATCTTCAACACTATGGAGTGCCAAAAACCTTTATCAATCTCATTTAACAGCTATATGATGAGGCTACATATCAAGTGATTCATGATGGACAGCTCAGTGATGCCTTTGAAGTGAAGACAGGAAGGAGAAAGACAAGGTTGTCGCCCACTATCACCCATCATCTTCTCGATTGTGGTCGACTCAACTGAACTGGACTGCACTGGATCATGCAACAGACAACTGTGTGAAGGTGTAAAAAGATGGGCATACGCTGTTTCACCGATGAAAAGACCCTAGAAGATTTGGATTTTGCTAATGACGATTTTCGTCGAATGTCGCACAAACTCGATGATGTACAGGCAAAAACTGACAGGTTGGTAAAAGAAGCAGGTTAACGAGGACGGGACTTCAGGTGAACGTAGAGAAGACAGAAGTGATGAACATACTCAATCAACAACAAGCACCAGTCACCATGAACAGGAGAAATCTAAGGGAAGTTGTATCTTTCACCTACCTACCCACCTAGACAGCATCGTCTCAACTACAGGCGCCATAGACACAGATCAGGATGTCAAAGCCAGCCAGCCAGCCAGCCAGCATCAGAAACACAGAAAGACACACCTTCATGCATTAATCCGAAATAATCAGTGTGGAGATCAACTGGACTGCACTGCACTGCACTACACTCAGCATAGAGCGTGTACAAGATCTGGATTTTCAACACCAGTTCAGTCAAGTAAGTCAGTGCTTCTGTATGATGATGGAGAGACTTGGTGCGTTATTAAAATCATTTCGAACAAACTGCAGAAATACATGAACAGCTTCCACCTACACTCACTCGATACTGACACTGAAGATCAGATGGATGGCGAGAATAATAAGAATAAGGAAGAAGGGAACTCTGGCTGGCAACGAACCAAGAACCTATTGCCCAAAAATATGCAGAAGAATAAGGTGGAGATGGATTGGGCATACACTGAGAAGATCATTTGGGGACATCATACGCCAGGCCGTCGAGTGGATGATGAATGAGAAAGGTCGAGTTGGGCATCCGAGTCGAGGGTGACATGGATGAGATTGTGTGAGGAAGAAATGAAATCTTGTAGGCAGTCGTGTAGCCAGGTTGAAAAGACTGCGGAGCAGAGAGTGAAATGGCGACCTGCTACTGAAGTCCTATGTTTCTCTAGGAACCCAAAGACAAATAATAAAAAAAAATCTAATGATGCAGGTAATCATTACTTAATGCTCTGGTAACGTTGATATCTGATCGTTAAGGTTTGATCAGTGGATTCCAAGATTTCGTCAACTTTCATTTCATTCTTGACTACAAACTATGATTTATAAGGAGCCTAACAAATTTGTCGAAAATGTATCTATCTGTAAATCAGTATCAGGATCTTGCAGTAAAAGTATCCTCTGAAACGGTACTGTTTAATGTAGAACTTTAAGGGTCATTTCAGTCATCTGCACAAACCATTTCTCACAAGCTACCAACTAAATTTTCTCTATTGTTCACTAGAGTGACATGGTTCGAGATGGATTTTAGAAATTCTAATGAGAAACGGTCACCTATGGAGTTGACGAAGTTGGATACGAGGACAAACATTTACCTGTGGCATGGGATAATGGTCGTACTTTATTGAGAAGTGAATGTGAAACACTGGATCCAAACTCACTGGCTAGATGGTGACTTGCTTCTTATGCGATTTGGCGATACCATTCCTCATCCCTGGCGAGGTTATGGGTGTGTAATACTGACAGGTCCCAAAACAGGACAAAATAAGTAACAAATGCTCCCGTTTTTAAGTTATTCTTCATCTGATGTTAGCCTGTAACGGATGCCTTGATACTATCTTCAGTGAAGGTTGAGAACTAAGTTTTCGTGTTTTTTGGCACCAACCAGCATAGAGCATATGCGAGATCAATGGTATTGATGTCCCCTCACAGAATTGAACTTGGTTGGAGACTTCACCACTAGGCTAATCGAACTGTGACTGATGTCCTACATGACTGGATTGATTGGTCAATTCGGAGTCGCCATTTTCATGTTGTGTAGACTTATGTATTTGTCGAATTCGATCGATCTATACCTTTTCAATCACAGCTTGAATAGTATAACTGGATGATATGAGTTCGGATATCTGTGGAGATATCATTTCCTTCAAGGTCTGCTGAAGAGTTTCAACAAGCATGAAACCTAGGTGAATCACGGCTTCCTATTGATTTTCTCCAACTATCTAACAAACTACGTTTGCTGTACACTTGCTGCAACTGTACACATGGGAATGTATAAAAAACACAGTTGAAAACAGTTATTGATTGTGCTAAAATTCATCAATTTCTGGTGCTTACAATCGACTGAGGTAATTCCTTCTATTTTCTGCATTTCTGTGTTTTCAGAGGCAACCCAAGGTTTGTTGATTTAGATAAACAAAGCACTCCTAATGTTATTCATGATTTCAGTTGTCGTCATTGCACCTGATGAATGTTGTTCTTTTCAATGAACCTTTGATGTGTGCATGTGTTTTGCTTTGCTATCGATATGAAATATATTTTTATTTAATTTATAAACATTTATGTGTTAGTAAATTCTCCAAAGAACTTTGACTCATTGATTTAGGGCGATGACTTTCAATCAATGGGTCATGAGTTCGAGTCCTGCTCCACCCATCGAGGTTTGGGCAGCCAGGTAGTATCATCAATAGGCTTCACACAATAATAGATGTGGCTCATTACCTACTACATGAATGTGTACAAGGCTACCACAGTAAAACAATGATTTTAACTAGTTAACGAATCAGTAACCTAAATAGAGTTCAGGAGCAAAGGATCCGAAAATAAAGTCTAATGTTTTCTTTTCATAGATTCATTGCTTTTGTTGAAAACATTACTGTTAGTTATTATTGTTATTTCTTTGGCTGGGTGAGTAACTTCAAGCTTTTTAATATGCCTCGTAAGTAGATGCTTCACCAAATCCTTGACTATTTACCCCAAATAACTTAACACTGAATATATTACGTTCGATTGCTTTCCTAACCTTATTTCTTTCTTGCCATGATGGATGTTGATTTCTACTGTGCAGTATCTTCTTGTATGAGTCATGCTGTACAAGGGCTGTTTAAGGTACTTTTTCAGTCATCCATTTTGTGATATAGTCTTACTACTTAATCGAGGTGTGTCGGCTGAAGTGAGTTGTGTGAGGAGATTTACATTGCTCTTGCCTAGAGTCCTTGACATGCAATAGGAGTCAAAGATTGGAGATTCTTTGTTATATATCTCCAAGTCGATCACAATAAAATAGATAATGTATGCACTGTTTCTCATCATCAAAACCTGCTGCAATTCAAGTTTCATTTAATCTTCAATCATCGCTGCTTATTAATATTTATGATCATTGAAATCGGTACCATTGTATTTACGAATGAAGGTGGTCTGTTGATCCTACCTTTGTGTGGTCGAAGTCAATGTTGAGTATGAGTAATTTAAAGAATGAGAATGATTGTTTATAATAGTATATTCTTTGTACTAATAATTACTGAAATAATGAGTGTCTTGTGAAAAGGTTAAGGACTAACTACACATGTGTGAGTATACATAATACTATCTGTAGAGATGTATATGAGTGGTTCACTGGCTGAGGTCGTCGACAGTGTACCAATGAGGATGATAATCTCTTAAATGAATTCCTTACAGAAAAGAATGCGTTGCCAGACATTATCATTATTATTCGAATGGACATGTGATTTGATTTGGAAGTTGTTGTCCGATGACGTTGTGATGCATGTTGGTTGTGTTGAAAACTGGTCAGTATGAAAATATGTCTTAATTTGATGATTTTCTACAGTAACTGAAAGCCGACAGTCATCCATGCATTCGTAACTTCGAATAATAATATATAATAATAATAATAATAATAATATATAATCACCCAATTAATTGATCAAACATCTTTTACTTTACTTGACGCCGCACCGCATTAGTAAGACAATGTAGATATTTATGACTATTCTTCTTTCTAGTACATTCAACTGGTCAATAGGGAACAAACAATCCTATTTATTATTATTATTATTATTATTTTTCCCTTGGGTTCCTAGTGGAACATAGGGTTTCACTAGCACGTCTCCATTGCCCTCTGTTCTCTGCAGTCTTTTGAACCAGGTGCCACGACTGCTGACAAGCTTTCATTTCTTCCTCACATGATCTCCTCCGCATCACTCTCGGACGCTCAACTCATCGTTTCCACTTTGAGCAACTCGATTTACATGAATAGTATACATTTCCTTACGTTTTATTAGTGCACTGTATTCTGGCTTCTGATGGACCATAAAGTGGAAAGAATAAAGAGTTTAAGATTGAACATACGAGAATTTAAGTGAATGAATATTTTCAATCAAGTTTCAGGACTGATCTACAGTGGTACTTTGTCTAAGTGTAGGGTGGCAAGTAGTTGAGTGTAATAACACTTCATTTAGGTAGATGGAACAGCCCTGACACTTTAATGACTGACGAAATTTGAACAGAGATATCAAACGATATATTTAGCATCTATGAGATATTCAGTTGCCTATTAGAGGTTATGTGTACTGCACAGGAGTTCAATCTCGTCTACTGCATAGACTATGAAAGATAGATATTAAAGGTAAAGGACATGAAAAGGGTTTTGATGTTGTTTTTGACCACTGTTGCTTTGGTAGCTTAAACTATGTGCTGTGAAAGCACTACGTCAGTAATACAGAAGTCAGGTATATAATTTTAGGTGAAAGAGATAAGTTCTTTAGTGAAGTTTTAGGTTTTCGTCAACTCAGATAGCATGGACATGTGTTAAACATGTCTAGTCATTGTTTA